AAGTACCAGGCATTACACTAAGAGCTTTATTTTCGATATTTAGTCCTTAATATAATCCTATGGGTTGGAGGTCATTATTTCCATTTTACTGATGAGGAAACTGAGGTTCACAGAGGTCAAATAACTTTTCCAGGTAGACCTGACCTGATAAACTTATCTCTTAATTGTATCAGTAGTGAATATGCCTTAGCCCTTACTTTGTGTGAACTCCCAAACTAAAAGAGGAAGGCCTACGTGAAGACACGTAAGTGCTTGAATATCTGGGCCTATTAGAAAAAGACATATCATTTTTCCCTCCCCAGTCGATACCAGCTCAAGCCTGTAGTGGAAAGTAAGCCATGTTGCAATGAAGCCATAGGAAATGCATTAACAAAAAGGGGCTATTTATCCCAGAGAAAACAGAGGTTTTCATGAATGGAGCTTGGATGTGTGTGGCCCTCAAGCATCCAGGAGACTGATTTCAAAGGAGGATGTTGAGAAAATAAGCAATCCTTCCTGGGCTCAGAGGAAGAATGACTTTAAATTGTAGAAAGAGCAACTTGGATTCAAAAGTGAAGCTGCCTTTAATCAACTGAGTGACTGGTCTTCAGAAAGAGAACACTTAACTGTGAGTTGAGAGGGTTTAGTTGAAGTGGGTATTTGTATGTAAATACAGTTTTCGGAAGCTCCAGGGCTCTAATACTTCTCTAAATAAACCTTGTTCATTCCCCTGAATCCTCTAAGACTGAGAGATACAGCTCTGCTCAGTGGGGTGGAACTTCTTTGTCTCACTCAGCAGGTTCCAAAGTCTTGGGGAAGACAAGGAAGAGGAGTCATGGAATTATGGGACCTGGTCATCTTGTGCATTAAAAAAAAAAAGACATTTATTGAACACCTGCTGTATTACGGTTTTACAAAATCAGTAGGGATGATCATCTCCATCTTATAGAGAAGGAAATGGACTCAGAGGTTAGCTAACAGTGATAGCGATCGCCATCAATGCTTCAACACTTTCTAGGTGCCACGTACAGAGCCAAGAACTTTTCCATACATGCTTTCTAATCCATCCAGCAACTCTATGAAGTTGGTACCAGTTTCTCCTCCATTTTTCAGATGAGGACACGAAGGCTTGGAGAGCTTAAATGACCTAATCAAAGTGCTCTGATGGCAGAATTGGTACACAACTCTAACTGAGGTGGAATTTTGATGTAAGTTTTGGAGCAGCTGTTCACATGTGCTCAAACAGTTCACTCAGCTGGAATATGCATTGTATTAAGTTTCTGTTCCTCTGTGGTTTAGTATAAGCTTCTCTAGGAAGCACTGACTGAGGAGAATTCAGGAGATGTGTCAGTGAAACCCGTGGGACCCAATGAGACGAAAGGAAGATAGATGGACGATGAGGGAACGACAAGGTGCCCCTTCCTGGTTTGAGGATGAAGGAGGGCTAATGGCAGAAGGAATGCATGGTCACTGCTGCGTCTTTCTTTTCCTTCTGGGGTTTCTTTCCTTTCTACCCTGTGGAATCCTCCAGCAGCGTCACCTCTTTGTAACTAATAGGGGGACCACCCAGGAGGCCAAATTCCATTGCCTCCTGCTTCTTGCTGCAGGTGTCAGAGGCAAAGAGAAGCAGCCAGGAAATGGGGCAGGCTACAGATGCGGAGTCAGAAATCCCCGGTTTAACTTCTGCTTGTTCCTTTCTTGTGTGACCTTGAGCCAGCCCTTCATCATATTTAAGCATCAGTTTCCTCATCCTTAGAGTGTAGATACCTTCTGTCCTAACTTATAAATGACTATTTGAAACCATGTTGAAGAAAGCATAAGGTGCTACCCAAATAAGAACTCCCTTCCGGACTGGAACAGGGGTGTGCTCCATGGATTCTGCCATCAAACTCAGGCTCTGCCATTTATTAGCTGTGTGGCCTTGGACACACCACTTACCCTCTCTTTGTTTCTGTATCTGTAAAATGGGGTTAATAGTGGTTGCTTCTCATAGGGTTGTTGTAAAGAGTCAAGTAATTCTTTTGAATACTTGTTTTGGTACCTGGCACATCATAAATATCCAATACAATTTTTATTGATTCAGAGAGAATTGGTTGATCTAGGCTCTTTGATGAGGGATAAATAGATGGACTTCTAGAAGCTTCTTTGGGCTTTGCGCTTGAATGTTCGAGGACCACGCAGTGTCACACCTAAAGGAGTACTCTGGGGGATCCTTCTCCTATGCTCCTAGTAATTTATCTGTTAAGTAGTAAATTAATAGCATTACTTTGGCATTTCAATCAATAGGATTAGGATGATCTGATGGTAACAGAGTAGTAATTGGTGCTGCACAGATGGAAACTGTCCAGTGGCAAAAATTGTTCTTCACAAGCTGGCTGGCTGCCCTCAGACCAGATTCTTTCAGCCCTTTTAAAAAATAACATTTTCCTCTGATGGTTAAAGCAATAAATGCACATTGGAAAAATACAACGAGGTTCAAAGACAAAACTAAAACCCACCTGGAAATTCCATTATCTAGATACCTACTGTTAGCATATTAGTAAATTTCTTCTGGGTTTTCTTTTTTCCTCTGTAGATTATAATCGGTTTTGTTTCCTGCCTTTTTTTTTTTTTACTGAAGATTCTAAATGAGCATTTTTCTCTCGTTATTAAACCTTCAGAAACACGATTATAAATGACTGCCTATGCCAGTGGGTGGCTGTATTAGCTTTCACCTAGCTATCCCTCTACCGATGGGCATTGGTATTATTTTCAGTTTTTAGCTATTATAAATGATGCTGTGAAAACCTCCCTTGGTCACAAACCTCTGTTCATGTCCTAGAAGCAAAATTGCTGAGTCAAAGAGTATGACTAGCTCTAAGGCAGAAAAACTACACCAGTGTGAAGGAGCTCCCATCTCCCCCAACCCCAGGACTAGCAGGCTCCTTGTTGAAAATTCTTTATAAGGTGGAGTCTGCTCGGGGCAAGGCTTGCAGGAAATGGTGGGAGAGTGAAAGTTAAAAGAAGAGAGATGACCACTTTTATCTTTTTCCTTTTTCTCCCTTCACTCAGATTGCCCAGGAAGCTGTAGTCAATTGGCATGTGCTGGAGGGGAGAAGGAGAGATCTTTGGGACAGTGTATTCAGAAGTCCAATGTTGCAGGTGCCAGACATTTCTTTCTTTTATATTAAATTGCCCCTGCCTATGTCTTCTGCCTGTATCATATCCAATTTTTTATCCCTGAAAGTACTTAGATATAATAAGCAGCCCATACGTGCTTGCTTTGAGAGGGAGGATGGCATAGTGGGCTCACATCTGTCACACAGCTGAGTGATCTTGGGCAAGTCACTTAGCCTCTTCAAATCTATTTCCTTATCAGAAAAAGGAGGGCAATAATGTGCTCCTGGGACTGTCGGGGTTGAAGCAGAAAATGCGTGTCAGATGCTGATGTGGTACCAGACACAGAGAAACCACTTGGTGTGTTCACTATTATTACAAATAAAAATTAAAGTTTTTGTGAGATTCAAACATTCTTCACTAAAGTTTTATGCCAGTCTGGCTTACACCTAATAATTCTGAAGAACTCCAGAAAAGTATAAAGACTAAGAGAGGCAGGTATGGCAGGAAAGAAGGGATGTGGGCTGCGCTTCAAATCTGGGCTAATTTATTATATTCCACTGTAGGCCCTGCATTTTAAGAGGGACATTAACAGGTTGGAGCAGGTCCAGAAAGGAACAACTGGGCTGGTAAACAAACTTGAAATTGACCTGTAAGGAATAATTAAAGACTCTGTGGGTGTTTGGCTCAGAGAAGATTCAGGCAGAGAGATCATTTTTTACAAATCTCTGTCGGGTGTCGGTGGGGAAGAGGGACTCCGTAAAATAATGTTCTTGAATATTTACTGTTTGCCAGGCACTGAGTTCAGCCCTGTGCAGTATTATTTATTTTATCCTCTCCCAAACACTAGATGAGGAATATAGTTTTGTTCCTCTCGCAGAGATGAAGAGACCAAGGTACAGATGGCAGAAGATGGCAGAAGTGCCTTGGTTGAATGTGCCGTGGCTGGTAGGTGGTAGGTAAGAATAGAACCAGATTTTTCTGATTCCGTAGCTGAGGTACCTTTTACAGCCCACTGACTTGTGCCAGGTGGCCAGGGAAGGTGGAGGGGACTTTCAGAGAGGGAGGCGGCTGCCTGATACATGGGAGGAAAGACCGTGTTGACCAGGACGGCTGCCCCATAATGGAAGGGGCAGCATCAGGAGGTGGCATGTTTCTTGTTGCCAGAAGTGTTCACAGATTAGGCTGAACCCTGAGCAACGTGCTGTAAGGATGAGTCAGCGGAAGAGTGGACTAGAACTGTGACTTTACCCCTTACTTAAGGGCCTTGAGAGTTGCTTAACATTTCTGAGCCTCAGTTTCTTCTTCTGTAAGCTAGGAATACTTAATTCTAATTTTAGGATTTTGGGAAGAATAAAAAATTCAGATCAATTGCTTAGCCAAGAACCTGGCATACAGAAGTTGCTCACGGTATATGAAGCGAACAATTATCTATGGTCTTTTCCTTTGCACCTGTGGTTCTCATTTATATAGTGCTGCTGTCTATTCACGTCTTCCCGGGGGTCAAGTCCGGATTTGGCGCTGTCACCTGCAGAGTGGGTATTCTCCCTCACTTCCACAGAGGCCCGTATCTACCAGGTTCTGTCCTCTCAGGCAAATGACAGGTTGGACTTTGAAACAGGGGCAGTGGAATAAACAAAAGGAAGAACGTTTAGACTGAAATGTTAAGCAACAGAATAGATATTACTGGGGGAGAGAGAAGAGAACCATTTCACCTACTGATCAATTATTGGAGAGCCCACTGTGTGCCCAGCACTGTGCCCTATGCATTAAGGGGGTAGTCCATTGGTCAGAGTTACTGTCTTTGTCTTCAAGGGCCTCAAGGCCTGGGACGGCTCAGACAACTCTGAAAACTGGAGAACAGGACTGAGTGTCACCCTGTACTAACTCCCTTGGCACAGGACTATTAGCGAAGGGATGCTTACAGGCAGAAGGTTGGAGAAGATGACCTTGGAAGATCTCTTGCTGGCCTGGGATTTTCTCTGTTGGGTGGCTCCCAGGATTGCATCCTTGCAGGCACAATGTGCTACTGTTACAGCTGTAGCCCCCTTGGGCACATCCTCTAGTTTCCCCAGGACATCCCTCAGACCTGGGAATATGCTAATCATCGTTGTCCATTATCAGGCCCAGAGGAGGAGGGGCTGCCCTCCTTCCTAGACAGGGAGAACCAGGCTGCCCCCACCCGCCTCCCAGGGCTGCTTCTGGCCCCTGTTCTTCAGACAGCCCTGGCCCCCACCACCCCCAGCCATGGCCCCCACCAGGGGGAGGCTTGGAGCTGACTGCCTGAGGATAAAGCTTTTATTGCTGTAATTCTTGATAGGAGAATCCTTTCTTCTCTTTCAACAAGAAGGCCGAATCCAACTGATTTGGGAAATACCTCTTTTCTTTCTCCTCTTGTTTCCTCGCCCTTTCATCATTCCTCCTTAGCATTTGCGTCTTCCTGCCTACACTTCTCTCCCCTTCTGGTCTTCTACCTTCTTCCTTTTCCTTTGTTTGTTTCTGAATCCTAGAATGATGGATCTGAGAGAGATCTTAAAAGTCAGCTAGTCCAGTCCACCCATCCATTTTACAGATGAGAATACTGCGGTCCAGAGAGGGAGGGAGACTCACACAGAATGGTCTTGGCTGAACCCAGAGGACTCTTCCCTTTTGATTACTCTGCTTATCTCCCCTTTTCTCCACCCCCTCATCTTGTCCTCCCTCTTTATGTCTTGCCCCATATTATTTCCTATCCTCTTTTGTCTCTTCATGAATCCATGGTGACAGATGGAAACAAAATCAGGAATTTGGGTGGCAGAACAGAGGGAAGCGTGTTGTCATGTTCTCCCCACCTCCTTTCCTCACTGGGAAGGGCTGTGATTTGGGGTGAGTCTCTCAGTTTTCTTCCTCAGAGACTCTACTCTCTCCACTCTTCCCCAACACATCTCTGGATGTGAGGTTTGTACAATGTCTTCTGCCTATGAAGACTTTGAACTGGATTGGCCTCAAGGTGTCCCAGATGGTAAAATCACTGCTTTGGCACAACCTGGCATCAGCCACAAAATGGGGATGACAATAGTACCTACTTCATAGAGTTGCTTTAAAGATTACATAATTAATGCATATGGAGCTTTCAGAAAAGTACCTGGCATATAGTAGATTCTAAATACATGTTATCTGATAATATTATAAATATTATTTAGAGGAATTTCTGTTCATAGGCAAAGGATTGGGAGTCGCAGATGTTTTAACATGAGAAGGGAACAGAAAACTACGAATATAGTTTCAATAGATACTTGTTGGTGACCTCATCCCCGCTGTGCTCTGTTTGCTGAATGTGCCTACTTTTTACCCGAATGTGCCATCTTTCCTCCAACTATTTGAATTCTTAGAGCAGCCCATGTCCATGACTCACACTGAGAAGCCATTTGAGACTTAGAGGTACGGTTAGGCTTTGCTCAGAACTGAGTTTCACAAGTCCTTCTGGTATTTTCCATTCAATCGATTGGCAGTGTCTAAGATGGAATGGTAGAGTACAGCATTCTTCAAATCCAAATTGCCTATATATCATATGACAAATTTTGCCCGATTCATATACTGTTATTTAATTTACCCTTAATTTGATTTTTTAGCATAACAGACTACTAGTATTACAATGAAAGTGGTAAATTCCAGTACCCAATAAAATAAAATTCATGATAAGTAAAATGAAAGAAAATTATTCTGTACCATTGAAATTTGTCTTGTACACTACCAGTGGAACAATCTTTAGGTTTAAGGGAAAACTGTCATAGTGATAAGAGACTTAAGAGTCCTCAGTCCTTGTCTGGGCTGGGCATTAATTCACTGTTGACTTTATAGACAAATCCCTTTCCCTCTGGCCTCTGTTCCTCCCTGGGAATTGAAAGGATTGGGTCAGATAATTCTCTCCATCTCTAAGTTTTGTTTTTTTTTTTTAATGATCAGGAGGATTTTATGAAATTACAAAAAGAATTGGGTAGGGCTTCATTTACCCTGATGAAAATACCTTCCATCCTTCACTTGTTCTAAAAACCCAAGTCTATAACATAACGCTGGCCTTCCCTTTTCCAGTGACATCTCACTTCTAGCACAATGACTTAAGTGGGGGAAGCAACTTCCATTTGCTCAGAAAATTCGTCCAAATACACCACATAGTCTTAGCCTCTAGGCTCATTTTTACTTGGAGAAACCAATCAACGGGATGCTGGTTCAGACCACTCCAGATGTCTTTTTTCCCTACCTGGTGCATGTGTCTTTTATTTAGGTGGGCTCCAAGTTTGATTGTGACACCCTCTTTTGAAAAAATCTTTTTTTTCAGCTTTCAAAAGTAATATATATTGTGAAACATTCAAGCATTACCAAAATATTTAATGTAGGAAATAAAAGTCCCCCATAGTCTCATTCTCAAGAGATAAAACAACTATAAACAGTTTTGGGTCCATTTCTCTAGACTTCTTTTTCCCCATATAAAAACAATAAAACATTAAAAAATAGAAATGGGATCTTACTGTACATACTGTTTTGCTACTTGCTCTCCGCATTCCCCCTCCATTTTAATCTTTTATCCTGGATATTTTTTACTTTTCTGCATGGAATGAGGTCACCTGCCTGTGGCACTTATTGGCCATGAGATTTTAGATGAATCACTGCTCCTCTCAGGGTTTCAATTTCCTCATCAGTAAAAAGAAAGGGACTTTCCCCACCTGCCCATCTCCCTGTGGTATGTCTTTTTTTGGTAAGACTTTATTTATTTATTTTAGAGAGAGAGAGCATGAGTGGGGCCAGGGGCAGAAGGAGAGGGAGGGAGAGAATCTCAAGCACACTACCCACTGAGTGCGGAGCCCGACACGGGGCACAATCTCATGAGTCTGAGGTCATGACCTGAGCCAAAATCAAGAGTTGGATGCTTAACAGACTGAGCCACCCAGGTGCCCCCCCTATGATATAAGTCTTAAGGGAGATGATGTGTGCATGTGCAAGCGTAAGCAGCCTGGGGTGGACTCCAGTGGATTAGTCTCTGTCCCATCATCTGATTTACTGGGTTTGTAGCAGTGCCCATGACCTGAAAATCTATAGTTTCCCAAGTTGTTTGTTTGTAGACCTCTCTAGAAGTTAAGCTGCATGAGAGCAGGGACTACATCTGTTCTGTTCATCACTGTGTTTGTCTCCAGAACTTAGAACAATTACTGGCTTATGGTAGGAATTCAGTAAGTACTTTGGGGATAATGAGCAAATTGTCCACTCGCAGGTAGGCTTCCAGTTGATAAAAGGCCCATTGGGAAAGAACAGGGCAGAGCAGGACTGGGCTGAGCCTGGGTGCCGATGGATAGCTGGCCCCTCCAGTGTCCTTGAGCTCCCCGTCCTCCAGCTTGCCTGTTCTGCAAGCCTTCTCTCTCTGCCTGCAACATTCTCTCTTGGCACTATTGCCACCTGGTGAATTAGTCATTCTTTGTGGCCTAGTTTGTGTCGTGGCTTCTTGAACTTTGTGCTGTCTCCCCACCTCCAGGCAGAGTGAAACAGACTCTTCTTGATGCTCCATAATGCTCTGCACCTATCCCCTTTTAGTAATAGTCATCATGGTTTTCCTGCTTTGCACGATTTCTTTGTGCCACGTGTGTGGCTAACACTCTATACACCTTCTCCCATTTAATACTTAGGATGATTTTTTGGGGTGGGGGGAGTAGATACTAATCATTGCCATTTTACAGATGAGGAAAACTGAGGCTTAGGAATCTTAAAAACAATCTTTGTCTAGGACATACAGGTATCAATCAAGTGATATAACCAGGATTCCAGAATATATCTGACTGATTCACAAGAGTTTTTAACTGCTGGGTCTTCTATGAGCCAACTTAATTTAAGAATTATGCAATGACAGCTGGACAGACCCATAGTCTTTACATAGTCCAGTCTACTTATAGGCATGGAAGAACTGAGACTCAGTTACAAAGGCAGAGCAGGAATTGCAGGGGGAGGAAAATCCTGTTCTCATCTCCAGGATGTTCAATTTTGAGGCAGCATGGGGGTTACACCTTTTATTGAAACTTGTCACCCTTTTTTCTAGGAAGCGTAGCTTTTTATATTCCAAGGCATATTCAACAAACTCCTCCAAGCCCCTTCTCTCTGGATATGATGCAGTCTTTTCTTGGCTCCTGTCAAGAGTTTTTCTTTTCTGCTAAATGTTTTAGATCACACCAAGAAAATGATCTCTAATGAAGTTCATGTTTTATGCACAATTAAAAACCATTGTAGGAAGTTTGCCTTGTCCTATGAAAGGGGCCTCTCTGCAGACCTGGGTCGTGGTGGGAAGCAGCTTGATCGGTGATGGCTCAGATGTTTTGAAAGGCCCAGAGTTTGCACATGCTCAGCCAGATAGCAAGGATAAAGCTGAGCAACTCACCTCACTGGCTACTGAGCCAGGGCTGAGCCGCCATGTCCAGCTCACTCTCACTGTGACTCATGTCTTGGAGCAAAAAAGGGGTCATAGTGAGACACAGCAGTGCTTTGGGGTTGGCTGGTTGGAAGCCTTCTGGTCCTGGGCTTCTGCAGTGCCAATAAGAAGATTGTGGGGGAGCAGGCATGCGGGGACCAAGTAATTCAACTCAAAGGCACTGAATACCTAATATACATGAACCACAGGGTTGATGCTATGTATGAGGAAGAAGTAGAACAAGTTGAAAACTCTGGGAAGCACCAGGGGTGCTTCTGTCTTCTTGTTGGGTGTCTCTATCTTCTTGTTGCCCTTCCCCATGTCCCTCAAAATGCATTAAGTTCCTGGCCTTGGAAGGGCTTACAGTCCAGTAGGGAAGTTATAAGGGCACCCAAATGCACGTAAGGCCACTGTCAGTGACCTGAGTGCTGAGGGGCATGCCTACATCTCCAAGGGGACTCAGGAAGGAGAGTCTACGGCCAGTTGGGGGATGGTGGCGGTCCAGGGGCTGCCTCGCAGAGGTAGTGAGGCCAGAGCTGGACCTTGAGGCATGGATAGGATCTCAGAGAAGTGAAGAAGAAATTGGCATTCATTAAGGGCTTATGCTCTGTGCAGAAAAAGTGCACGAAAGGTAACTTCATTGATCTATTGGCGAAGCTCTTATCTTCAGTTTTTAAG